GAGAGAGAGAGAGCTTGGTGACATTTGGATCAAGACTCGACGTTGGACTTCAGACATTTTGAAGAGGGATTATTTGGGACTTGTAACGAGACTTGGTGTTGGCAACTTTCCCATCTCCCCCTTCCTCTTCTTCGTCTGATCCCCTCCTCTTCGTCTGTGTATGTCTGGACCTGGCGCCTCTTTCCTGTGTATAGCGTCAGGCCCCTTCACACCTTGTGATGAGCATGATGTATGTTTGGTCTGCGTTGAAACATTGATTGGGCTAGTCATTAGTACTCTAGCATTCTGCTTCGCTATCTTGTACTACGTGAAAACGGTCAGTCCCGGTCAGGTCAGGGCTTGTATCTAAATCTTCCACTGCGCTTTAAAACACCATTTTGTATGTATCGGAATGCGCATTGCTTGTTGAGATTCCACTTGCACTGCATTGTCCATTCAGTCCTTTTTATCACATTGCGGATCCTCGGTTTATAACTTTATAGGTACATCGCCCAACTGGGCATGTAACATTCCCTGGCGCCATAGCTGGGGTCTCCACGCGGTACCTGCACAGGACAGACACGGCAGTCAGTACGGCAGCCGTTACCCGCAGGTAAGGCAGCGAGAAGGACGACATCTTCTTGTCCCTTCTCGCCCTCCATCTCTCCTCCTCCTTCCTCCTTACTCCTTCCTCCTTCTTCCTTCTTCTTCTTCCTTCTTCTTCTTCTTCTTCTTCTTCTTCTTCTTCTTCTTCTTCTTCTTCTTCTTCTTCTTCAGATATGAGAGAGAGAGGTTACAGTTCGAGGTTACAGGCAGAAGATACAGGCAGAGGTTACGGTGGGCATTGTGCCCAGGATCTGATTCGACATTGTTGAGACATTGATTGGACATCGGCAAGGGACTATTTTTGGACTTCGCTATTGCAATCTTGGTCTTCTCCTTCGCCGACATCTTCGTCTCTCTCCTCCCTCCATCTTTTATCTGTGGTAGCTCCCCATGTGCGTGTACAAGGAGGGACCTTTCTTCTTCGTATGCGGTCCCTCCTCTCCCTCTCACATGTGTGATGTATGATGGGATGTTGTGTCAGTCCCAGTCAGGTCAGGACTTATCTTCAGATCTCCGCTGCGCTACTTTTGTGCCATCTCGTATGTATCAGGGTGTACATTGCCTGTTGATGTTGCACTGACATTGCATTGTCCATTCAGTCCTTTTCATCACATTGCAGATCCTTGGATGTACATACATTGCCCAACTGGGCATGTATCACGGTTGTGGAAAACAGGGGATTATGACCAACCAGTTCAAAAAGAAGGGGAATATGACCAGCCAGCCAGTTGTAGAAAGATGGGGACCATGACCAGCCACTTGTGGAAAGCTCTACCTCCAGACTCTTGGCATCGCCACCAGGGGGTATATACAGTTGTCAGTGCGGGACATT